AATGAAATGTCATTTCTAGGAGTTGCAGCACTTCTGCAAGCCACCCTACATAAACTCACTATCTTCTCATCTCACTCATTCACAGTTGCTTCACTAATCCTGAATCTGTGATTTGGATCATTCAGAGTACTTCACAAACAAATTAGTATATTTACTTCTCCACTATATTTTCTTGGCATCTTTCTCTCCAACTTATCCAGCTCTGACTAGGGCCTCTGTACTCTCACTATACTTACCCTGCTTTGTGCTATTTTCCCTGATTCTGGCTTTCATCCAGGATGCATACATGGTTCATTTTTTTCCAGTTTGTTGCCATACTGATTGGTCCCATCATGGCAACAGATATAGCAAAGCCAATGCCAAATCCTATCACCAGCAGGACTTTTCACCCCTTGTTTATCTACAGCAGCGGTCACCAACTGGTGGTCCATGGACCACTGGTGGTCCGAGAGAAAATTTTGGTGGTCCGCAGAAAAATTATTTGCATTTTTTATATTGCACTAAATCAGGGGTCCTCAAACTAAGAGCCATGGGCCGGATAGGTGCAATCAACGGTTGTGTTGCTACAGAAAGTCTCCCCCTTTGAGGTCTTTTTGTGTGGGTCAGAGGGGGTCAGAAATTCCGACTTGGGGTCTGCTTCAGCCTCCTAGTGTGGAGCTTTGGGTGTAGGCTAAAAGGAACTGCCGCTGGTGGCGAAAGGCCGAGGGCCTCGTTCCAGTGGAACTGCATCATGACCTGGAACTGGATGACCATCTCAGGCCGCTAAGCCTCCAGGTGCCGGTACCTGGCCTTGCACTACCGCAGGTCTTCCCTCTGCCTGGAAAGCCTATGCTCGTAGTCCTCAGTGAGATGCATCTGCTGAGCCTCCTTCTTGGTCAGATCCAATTTGAACTGAGCCAGCTGTTTTGCCAGCTTTTGTCGTGGTATCTGATTAGCTCCAACAACTACTTCCTATTGGGGCCCTAAGGATCCTGGGGAGGTGAGGAGTGGCTGGGAGGGGAAGGGCGAGTAAAGGCTGGCAAGGCGCCTCTTCACGTGAGTGACATCAAGTTGGCCATGCCCACCCAGTCATATGACCAAGCCACGCCCACCCGGCTGGTCATTAGGCAGATCATATTAGTGGTCTGCAGGATTTAAAATTATGAATTTAGTGGTCCCTGAGGTCCGAAAGGTTGGTGACCCCTAATCTACAGTACAGTTCGGTAGAACTATCTGCATAATTCTGTCCCTTGTTCCTAAGCGGTTTTTCCACCAGCCTGCTATTCACTGCTGCTTTTTGGAAGCCTCTGCATCTTAGTTTCTAGATCTACCAACTAGCAAATTGTCCTTTGGTGAGTTATCCTTCCATGATCCTCCTGCATATTCTCCTGCAACTGCAGGAGATCCCAGAGATCCAATTTCTATTCCTGACCAGCCAACTCCATCCTGCTTCCTCTGCTGCTTCCGAGCCATGAGTCATCCAGAACTCCAATTGTTTGTTTTGCATTCCTCACCCTCAAGAACCTCTCTACTGTTCTTATTTTCCTCTTCTCTTCTCAACACCAGCTATCCATCCATTAACTTTTTTTTCCCTCCCATCTAGCCCAGCAGTTCCTCTCTCTCAATTTTCAAGTCTTCACAACCAAGGTTTCACAATCCTGTACATTTTGAAATGGTTTAATATTTCTCAAAACGAATATATAACCACATGGATCCTTGTGGTCACATCTGCTTACTGAGAGGATTCTTTTGTAATAGGAAAGCATATTGCATTTTTATTACAGGGATATAAGAAATTAATTGCTCTTAGTGTAGTTATTAAATTTGCTTATACTTGTGACAAAAGTTGGAATTACTTTTGTATTTCCTTTCTTTATTTTTATTACATTCTTCTCTTTTTCTTTTTTCTTCTTTTCCTGCACATTTAATTCTTTAGTTTGTATTAGTTTTACTCTTATTTATTTATCTATCAAATTTCTATAGCTACCCCATCTCCTCATAGGCAATTCTGGGCTGTACACAACAATATATACAATAGCCAATATAAAACAGGTAAAAATCTAAGAAAAACAAACAAAAACCACAGTAATAAATAACATAAAAATAAAAATACAACTGTGGATGAAGGGAGGATAAGAATGACCTTCCTATTGCAATTAAAATTCTTAATAATTTTTTTTTTAAGATATTAATTTCTCTCTTCGACAAAAACATAGGAAATGCAGAAAACAATACTAAAGAATGAAAGTAAGAATAAATCCAAGATGTGACACAGGAAGATCTCAGAACTCAATTCTGGTTGCTTTAATCCATTTAAAACAAAGGATAAACTGACATACAACAATCAAGATGGAGTGGATACTTTCAATATACTGCCCTAGATTTGGGGAACGAGGAGATAAAATCTTTGAAAGACAGGAACAATTAGAGGAGAGAAAAATAGTGACCTCTGCCAGAATTTTCAAAATCATCAAATGGACTCCAACTTGGAATTAATGACTAACAACTTTTTATTAACAGCTCAGTTAATAGTGATCTTTGAACAATTAATAGTCAGAGAGATTAATTTAAAACCCTCCTTTAGAAATATTTGATGCATTCACAAAGGAGAACCAGAATGAAAAAAAAACACCTACTTTCTACATATAAAAAAAAGGCTGAAGTAATATATTTGAGCAGGAAGATGACAAGATATATCAGCTTAAAAAAAAGAATGGAAACTCTCTCTCCCAAGTCAGTTTTTGTCTCAGAGCAAACACTTCAAATTCCTAAGATGGGTAGATAGAATAACTTGACTGTTGATTCCCATGAACTGAACAATGTTATGTTGTAGGTAGTTGAAAATAAAATAAATACAGGCAGATGGTGTAATAGATAAGTAACAATGTGTCTTTTACCAGTATTTATGTATGTTGTCATGGTTATAATACTATTCTGAAACAAATGATCTGCCTTCCTAACCATGGTAAATACAAGAGTGTCATGCTATCTTTCTAAATCTTCAATGCTGCCACTGATGATCACCAGAATAGGCAAGGCTTCAATTGCATCGTCATAAGTGTCACGTTGCTCTTTTGAGAATACCTTGAAGAGTCCCCTGCAGTCTCTCCAAAGCTGGAAACCCCTCACCCCCACCCCACCCAGATATTACAAAGGTTAGGGACATTAACCATCTAATAGCAGCAGCAACAAAATCACTTAAAAAGTTGATAACAGCAACTTTTTAAGCGACAGAGTAAAAATAATGAACAAGCCAGGGCAACCCTGATACCTAATTAAACGATGTCTGAAGGTGGGACTGGTTCAAAACTTCCAGCTAACACGAAAAGGAGTCTTCTTATTTCAAAACAACTTTGTGAGGAAAGCACAGAGGAATATGCTACACAAAATTACATATGTTACAACAGAAAAACAGATTGCCTGGACTTATTTAGAGGTGGACCAGTTATTCATTTTAACTGATTGTTCAGTACAACCAACCGATGCAATGTACTGCCCATCCTTAATGATAATTAATTAATACCAAAACTAGGGGGGCTGGAAATCTTACGATAAGCATCTGAACCCCAAGATAATGTGGTAGCAAAATCAGTTTTTGGAACTCTGGGCAAAATGCTACAATATACTTCTTCCTTTACATTCCATTTCAGAAAATAGCATACTTTACTCTGACACCCAACTGTTCTGTATTTCTTTTCTCATCCCCACACACCTATAAACATGCTCTCTTTCACACACACATGCCTTTGTTTTTCTTGACTTCTTCCCTCCCTTTCCATTTCACATACAGGTAGATTTGGGTCTCTTTTATTAGCAGACCATAGCAGACCAGCTGTTGCCTCACCCCTTCTCCACCCAAAACTTCCACCTTACTGCTATGCAGGCAGAATTGGAGACTGGCCAAGTGGCCAACCCTATCTCACATTTGCAGGTGCTCTTACTCCCTCCAAGCGGCCTCTCACAAGATGTAGGAACAGAAGCAGAGCAGACAAAAAAAGGGACCAAAGGTAAATTCATCAAAGGAGAAAACTCTTGTAAATGTGGACTATCCAGCCCAAATTCAGGCATTTACTGTCTTACGTGCCAATTCAAATAATGCTGTATTTGTCAAAGATTAGTGTAGTGTTCTTTTTTTTTCCTTGTTGAATTTCTTACTGAAGCAGTAGAAAAATATGAAAAACAGGTCTTGGAGAAACTATAAATACCAGCAGATGGAGGATGAATTACCCTAAAACCTCCCAGAGCATATAATCATCAGCCCTTCATAGCATCACTAAACCATTGTCCTTAAACTTGAATTTTATTCTCATATAAGATTCTTATGTCCTGGCATATGAATCACAATATCACAAAAAAATGGCATTTGGTGTAGATTACTTACCGATCTGATTTTTCCAATGTATTGAATTACAACATCCAAAACACTCTTTTCAAGCCATCTAATGATTAATGTAGCATTGCCTCTTTAAAAAAATCTCTGATTGTTGAGGTTCATTCAAAATGTATATATAATTGCTAACTTAGTCCCTAGTTTCAAGGCATTCGATTAAAAAAAAATCTTTCAGTTAAGGTTTAAATAAGTGGCACCCAAATTTACATACAATAAAATATCAGATTAAAAATAGAATTATTTCACCCATAGATGGAATATATATATAGACCCACATGTATAGGAAACTAGTTTCACATAGCATATTTGCATGTGGATAATCTTTCTCTAATGCACGAACAGGATAGCCTAAATCCTTTATCAGCTGCTTCCGTTAGGGATGCTATTTAGGTCCTCTACTCTGCTAATAAGCACAAAAGAAACATACATAGAGGCCATATGGGAGTTTTCTGTTTAGTTCAGCAACTTTGTTCCTAGCTCATCTATCAGTCTTATTAGCAGTTTCTCAGAGGTTCTTTCAAGTCTTTGGAGATCTGCGACAACACAGTAGGGCTGCTTAAATTTATATTAGCTTTCTTCTAGCAGATTAAAAAAGAAAAAAAAAACCCAAGCCTTTATTGTACAAGTAAGCTTGCTGGATTATCAATACGCTGTTTTTATTCATCTTTTAATAATTCTTAGGTGATGTTTTTAGTTTTGCTTTTATTTATTTTTGTTTTTATCTTTGCTATCCACATTAAACATCCTTCATTACGGAATAAATACATTCTGTAATAGAAATTAAGACTTTTAGACTAAACACAATGCATTTTATTCACTAATACTGGAATCCAGGTTGTGGTGGGGGGGAAGCCCCAAGTCTAATTACTTGTGAAATTTTATGATGTTTAGTGTTTGGGCAATATTTAGTAAAATCTGATCATACTCAGGTCTAAGGGGCGGAAGGGAGTATCCAGCAATCCTTACAGCTATCAGATCTAGACTATACAAACCCAGATAACAGATAACCAATAGATATGGGAAAATCTACCTTTTACTGCCATATAGTGGTTGCCTGGATTTTTTGCTGCTATGGCAGAGTGGAAGTGGAAGTTCATCTAGGGCAATGTGCTTCTCTTAAGGTTACAATGGTGTATTTTGTAACCCTGTTCTCAGAAAATATCATCAGGAACAGATTCACATATTTTGTGCTCAGTCCAACTGTGTATCCTATGTTTGATTGAACTTCGATCTAGATTTTAAGTTTGTGAAACAAAATGCCCTTTGGACCTTACTGCAGTTTCAGGACATTTTTAAAGAGAGGGATCTAAATGTAATCAGGTGCAGCCCCACCAATTTTCTCAGTATTAACTATTCTATAGCCTGGTTGGAATCTAGCCATCCACTTAAAATATTTTTTGCATGCAAAGAACAACTTCTTTGATCATTTGTCATGACACATTCCAAAACTGAGTTTGCATGTTAAGAGAAAAAAAGTCCAGGTTTTTCTTTGCAGAATATAGAACTGGTCTCAGACTAATATATAGTATTAATGCACATTAAAATGGAAAATATTATATAAAGGTCCTTTTCTGTCCTTATGTTAGATCTGCACTTTCGATTTGCCTCATCTCCTGTGTGAACCATCCCCCTTTATTAAGTGCAAGAATGGATGACATCATACTCCATCCACTCACAGCTCCTTCCATATATACTCCTCATAACATTTTTCATCTCTGAGTGCGTCTTAAGTCTTTGAGCAGTAAGTCTGATGAACTTTAGTCCAGTCCAAAAATATCTTCACTTCCCATTAGCTCCTGTAGCTGGTGTCCCAAAGTGTTTTTTCCAAAAGGCAACTGGACTTTTCTAGCTTTTACCTTTTGAAAACATTTCACTTCTCATCCAAGAAGCTTCTTCAGTTCTAACTAACTGATGGGAAAGGAAGGATTTATATTCTTTGCAGTCATCTGGTTTCTCACATTCTGACGGTTGGTCGGTAGTTCTTTAAGAGTCGTTGAGGCCACTGGGGGTTTATCTGTATCCTCAGTCACCCGAATCAGATGGGTTCTGTATTTCTGGGTTTGGGATAGGAATAAATAAATAAATAATTTTATTTCTATACCGCCCTTCTCCCGAAGGACTCAGGGCGGTGTACAGCCAATTTAAAAACACAAGACACAACAATGATTAAAAATTAAAATAATTAAATAAGTTTGGCCGGATTAAAACCCCAAAAATTTAAAATACCCCAATTAAAATTATTATGTTGATAGCCCGGCCTGGCAGAACAACAGGGTCTTCAGGAAGAACCAATAAGTCTTCCTTTCACAGCTTTTTTTTTCACTAGAACTGGGCCAATGGAAGTAGTCCAGATAATAGTGTTAAGAACTTCCCATCTGGTCAGACTAGGATATCCAGAAATTTTTAAATTTCTCTCCTCCATGTTTCTAATGTTGTAGTATATAAGCATCTGTGTGGAAGTGATAAGATCAAAAGGTAGAATATAATGATTCTGTAAATAAATTAACATATCTAGGCAGTAAAGAGATGTAGCCCCACCAATATTTAGTAAGTAATGTCAATGATTGTGTTAATTACTGCTGTTGTGAGATGTCTAGTGTCTTTCTGTGTGATAAATAATGAAATTGTATTTGCTTCCTTTTGATCTGGGAAAACGATTGAAATATAAAATATACATAAACATGGAGTTTGTTTTAATTGTGGTGTTATTTTCTTAAAATATCTGCTATGGCTTACATATTGATGAAAGTCAAGCCCTTCCCTTCCACTTTTGGTATTGTGAAACTGATTTCAACATTTTGCCCTCACATTGAACTATATATTATGTGTAATTTATTTTGTTGCTCATAAAATCTAGCTGGAGATGTCCCCTCCCCCTCTCTCTGTAGAAATCATTCTTTCCCATTAAAAATATCTATATTGCTCAAATTCATTTACTTGCTAAACAATATTTATCTTATCTTTTGAATTTAAGGAGTGAACCAAAACAGGAGGAAGCAGAAATCTCTGTTGTAATACCAACTCAAGCAGGTTTTTTTTTTATGCCAATAACTTTCAGATCTGGTGTCAGTGAGTAGCTTTAAGAAATACTCTTAAATCTCTGGTCACAGTGGAAAAAAGTCTGAGCTACAAGGGGATGGTGCATTTAAGCCATTTTAATAACCCTGGTAAAAGGGAAGCGTGAAAGGGGATCCTCAGTGGTTCATATTTTCCTAAAAGGCAGAAGCTATTTTTTAAAAAGAAGTTTGACGTAAGAGAAAATATGCGTCAATGGCTGGGCTTGACTTTATTCATAAGTAATAGCTTTAAACTACTGAGCTCTTATTTGAAACTTTAAACTTAAATTTATGCCAACATTTAATTAGGGTCAAAAGTGAAATACAGAATCCAACTCATTAACAGTCACACATGTTTAGTAAAATAATCTACAATGAAAATTACAGAATCTACAAAGTAGAATGGGTCTTAAACAAAAAAGTAATGTGATCTAATTGGTATAATGTATAGATTCTGGAAGAAAATAAATAGGATGCTTCACATTCATTGGGAATATTTTGCGTTTGGCAACAAGGGCCTGTCTATCCTCTATAATTCTATCATATCTGGATGCCACTGTTTAGTATGATGTTCATTGTAAGGTGGGATCACAGATCATTATGGATATGTTGAGACATGGAAATGGCATTAACACCAGTGGTGGGATCCTGCCGGTTTAACAAATAGTTCAGTGATTGCCTGCTTTGTGCTCGTGTGCGCTATGCACGTGTGCGCAGTTTTACAAAAACTTACCTTCTGCGTTATTGCTGGGGAGTAACACAGTTGAGGCGCAGCAATCTGCTTTCTGTTGTACAGATCAGATGAGAAGATATAGGTCAGTAAAGCGCAGGGGCGGGCAGGTGAGCCCACCTGATCATCGGAGTGAACCGGTTCTCTCCCAGCTAATCATCGGAGCTACTGGTTCGCCTGAACTGGTCCGAATCGGTAGAATCTCACCCCTGATCAACAGTCATATTTATACATTTCCATGAGGGGTGGGTTCTACTTACCTTTACTACCGATTCGCAATGGGATCGCTTCTGAACATGGGCAGATCACTGATGATGACATCCGGGGTGGTGGGCGGGGCCTCCTGCTGGTTTTACTCCCGGTTCTTGCAAACCAGTCCGAACCGGGAGCAACCCACCGATTTCCATGTAGAACATGCTTTTGAAAGAAACGTTGAGTAATATTTTTTTTACAAAAATATTACTTTTGATAACTTTGATTTTTCTTTAGTTTCAGGATGAAGAACTCAGCCACTGTGGTCTGTAAATTATGCTTCATGGCTTAGTGTGGAAAGTCATATTCAGCAACTATGGTTAAGCAAACCATATCTAAATGGGAAGTGTAATCCAACATGTCTAATATCAAGATTGTGAAGACTGGAATAATCAGTCAATAATTGAACAAGAGACAGTGTATCAGTACTTGCCATCTATCCATTTTTTTTGTTCCTGAGTTGCAAACAATATATTAGCAAGAGACTGAATTATGTATTAAATAACTATAGTGATAACAAAGAAAATTAAAGGGTTAGTCAGAATATTCTAACCGAAGCATTAAATCTGTTATGTAAATAGGTTTGTTTGGCGGGAAGTTCGAAATAACTGACCCTCAGCTGATTGGTTGACCACTACTGTTGTAAGGTATATAAAGGGAGCTGGCTCCCAGGTTTAGTTGCTGGAGTCTCATCATACAATTAAGAGCTGTTGTCACGAACTACTCTGGCTTGCTGCGTCCTCATTCACCCAACTTAACATTGGCGACGAGGATGGGATTTTGAGGCCAGAAGCAGAGGAGAGCTGAAGCCACACTCGAGAAAGAGCTGAAGCCACGTTCAGAGAGGGGACCGGAGACCGCAACAGAATACAGCCAGGTGAGCGAGCGGCGCACAGGAGAATCCCCGAAACGATGTCTGCCTACACCCCGCCAGCGCCTTTCGACCCCAAGGAAGAGAAGTGGGGATCCTACATGTCTCGGTTCGAGTGCTTCATGGTGGCAAACGACATGCAAGGGTTACCGGACGTTCGGAAGAAAGCCCTGTTCCTGAGCCACTGCGGCCAAGGGTCTTCGACACAGCCGAAGCATTGTCAGAGCCGAATTCGGTCCACAACATTTCCTGGTCAATGCTGCAGACCCTGCTGAAAGACCACTATGCACCAACGCCATCGAAGTACGTCCAACGCTATGATTTCCGGCAACGGCTACAGCAGGAGGGCGAATCGATCAGCGAGTATATCGCTGCCCTGCGTAAGGCCGCAACCCAATGTGAGTACCGAGACCTGGATGAGATGCTCCTAGAGCAACTAATTTGCGGAGTGAGAGATAGCCGACTCCAGAGAAGGTTGCTTGCGAGATCAAACCTGACCCTACTCATCGCGCTAGACGAGGCCAGAGCGCAAGAGTCGTCAACAAAGGCTGCAGAGAGACTGAAAAGCTCCCACTTAACCAGAACAACGCAAAAGACGGCACCAGTGCACCGAGAGGCCACGAGCACCGCGAGCGAAGGGGAGAGGAAGCTTAGAGAATTCACCATAGGAACACCGGTTCACGCTAGAAACTATGGACAGGGCCCACTCTGGGAAGCCGGGACAATCACAGAAATCACAGGGCCCAAATCATACAGGGTAGATATGGGGGACGGGAGAGTTTGGCGCAGACACATTGACCAACTAAGAAACGGGTAACCGCAGACACGACGACAAGTTAGACGACCCCATCTCTGACCATGACTACCAACCAGAAGCACAAAACACAAGCCCGAGTAGAGCGGAGGACTTAGCTGAGAATTCTGGTATCCAGCGCCGCCCCATCGAGGTAATCCAAACAGCCAGAGAAGTCGCCGCCCACGAGAGGTCCCAGAGGCCTCATTGGCGGAGCAGGGAGAAACAGAAAGTCCCTCCAACCTGCTCGACGCCGCTCCTCCGACTGAACTGCGCAGGTCAACTAGGACTCGTACACGCCCTAGTCACCTGAGAGACTTTGTATGTAAATAACACCCCAAGTGACTTCTGGGAGGGGAGGAGTGTTATGTAAATAGGTTTGTTTGGCGGGAAGTTCGAAATAACTGACCCTCAGCTGATTGGTTGACCACTACTGTTGTAAGGTATATAAAGGGAGCTGGCTCCCAGGTTTACTTGCTGGAGTCTCACCATACAATTAAGAGCTGTTGTCACGAACTACTCTGGCTTGCTGCGTCCTCATTCACCCAACTTAACAAAATCAATTATTATCAAGCACATATTATTATATATTTTCCACTGTTAAGTAATACACGCATGCTAAACATACATGCTATTTCTGATTTCTATGGCTGGGAAAGAAGAGAGGTACTGGTTCTTCCTAGATTTAGAAATAGTTTGGGAAGGTTTTTCTTATTACCAGCAGTTTGCATTAAGCAGCAGGTTGGATTAAGACAAGTGGCTGCAAAGTTCTCTGGATTCTCATTTATGCAAAGTTGGGAAAGGCCAAAAGCCCAAGCAAATTTTCAGAAGTTAAAAAACAGTAAGAAATATTATTCAGAAAATGTTTCTAGGTCATGACAAAAGCTCTTAGCCCGCTAGTGCCATCTACTGGTGCCTGGAGATACCATAACACTTAATGCCAGCAAATATAAAACAGAGCCGGGAAATTTATTGAGGGCCATATTCCTTGAGTATATTTACTAAAGACACTAAACCACTACAGTAGATTAACAATCACCCTTGACTCTGCACAATCATTTAACCATAGTCTGATGATTTCTGGAGCTAAGCATATTTCCAGTTAATACTAATCAGAATTTGAAAGCTAAATTAAACATGATATCACATTCCAATTAATGCTACTCAGAAATGTGACCACTTCTGATTTAGCCAGCACAATTAACTTTCAATAAGCCATTGACTATGATTAAAAAGCCACAGGGGTTATGTGGGAAAATGATATATGTACAGTAGTTGCATACTCACATAGCTTTAGAGAATCGTTTCAATGCTCTCTTTAATTGGGCTGGGGAATTTTGGGAATCAAAGTCTACACATCTTAAAGTTGTCAAGGCTGAGAAACACTGATCTAAAAGAACCCCAAGGCAGTGCAATAATCCAATACTACTTCATCTCCAACAGATGTTTATCCAGCCTCCGTTTAAATACTTGCAGTATTCTAATACATGAGATTCCACCACAACTTGAAGCACTCTGTTGTATGATTACTGTTAGGTAATTTTTCATGATAGCCAACAGATATCTTCCTCTTTATAATTTAAATCCATTGTTTCTTTTCCTGTCTTCTAGGACACAGAACAATTCTGTTCTGATTTCTACATAAAACCCTTTCAGACATTTAAATACATCTACTGTTGCCCACATCTCCAAATTAAAGGCACCGACCATCTCACATTTATCATAAGACATTTTGCTCTTATTCCTGGATTAAACTGATAGCATCACTCTGGAATATCACTTATTGATTACACCACAGTTTAAGCAAAATTGGAATGTTCATGACATCTAGTGGAAATCTGCAGGTAAGAGCTGATAAAGTGCTTGCTTTCATTCCACCAGCTGAATTATATTTTGAACTGAAAGGGTTTGCTATTTGACTGAAAATGTAGCAAACTTCATGAAAGAACAAAGCATTTCCAAGATGCAGTTTCAATTAGATCTTCCTACATTAAAACACATCCAACTCGCTGAAAGGTTGGTGATGCAGTTTAGGAAATCTTACACTTGGAAGGCAATGGTCCAATAACAGACCTCCATTAGACAGTCACATTACTTATTGGGATATACTATTTCATTTCAAAAAATGTAATTTTTAACATTCCTCATGCAAAGCACTTTTCACTACTGTTCCAATCAGCTTGCAGGACTGCCTCTTCCCGAGGACATCTGTCCATGCCACCAGATCGGCTAAGGTTGGGCACACTTCATGTTCCTTTCCTTAAATGCTGCCATTTTACGGCACCTAGGAAGCATAGTCCTGTCCTATGGAAAATCCTTCCCACTGAAATCTGACTCTGGCAGGTTCTTATCCTTTCAACCTTCCAAATAGCACTTAAGACCTGGCTTTCCCCCAAATGCTGCCATAGGATGAGATTGGCATGGGAGTAGTGTGTTGTGAGCTGCATTGGAAGGCTTAACTATGAGAAATCCATAAACTGTTGTGCTCCTGATGGTCATTTGGGGATCCTTGGCAGAAAGGGTAGATTGGATCATGTTGATGTACCAAGAAATAAGAAAAAGCCATCCTAACAGGAGTAGATACTACCATAGTCAGAATAGAATAGAATAGAATAGAATAGAATAGAATAGAATAGAATAGAATAGAATAGAATAGAATAGAATAGAATAGAATAGAATAGAATAACAGAGTTGGAAGGGACCTTGGAGGTCTTCTGGTCCAACCCCCTGTCCAGGCAGGAAACCCTACACCACTTCAGACAAATGGTTATCCAACATTTTCTTAAAAATTTACAGTGTTGGGGCATTCACAACTTCTGCAGGCAAGTTGTTCCACTTATTAATTGTTCTAACTGTCAGGAAATTTCTCCTTAGTTCTAAATTGCTTCTCTCCTTCATTAGTTTCTACCCATTGCTTCTTGTTCTACCCTCAGGTGCTTTGGAGAATAGTTTGACTCCCTCTTCTTTGTGGCAACCCCTGAGATATTGGAACACTGCTATCATGTCTCCCCTAGTCCTTCTCTTCATTAAACTAAACATACCCAGTTCCTGCAACCGTTCTTCATATGTTTTAACCTCCAGTCCCCTAATCATCTTTGTTGCTCTTCTCTGCACTCTTTCTAGAGTCTCAACATCTTTTTTACATCGTGGCGACCAAAACTGAATGCAATATTCCAAGTGTGACCTTATCAAGGCATTATAAAGTGGTATTAACACTTCACGTGACCTCTGTTTATGCAGCCCAGAACTGTGTTGGCTTTTTTGGCAGCTGCTGCACACTGCTGGCTCATATTTAAATGGTTGTCCACTAGGACTCCAAGATCCCTCTCACAGTTACTACTATTGAGCAAGGTACCACATATACGGTACCTGTGCATTTTGTTTTTCTTCCCTAAATGTAGAACCTTACTTTTTTCACTGTTGAATTTCATTTTGTTAGATAACGCCCAATGTTCAAGTCTGTATCTTGAGCCTATCTTCTGGAGTGTTGGCT